ACAGGCAGGAGATGGGCAGCAGCATCTTCCTGATAACAGTAATTGTACGACAAAAAAAACTGCGGTTGCCAACCCGCTCGCCAAGCGTGGCAACTATGGCAATATACCCCCCATGAACAATTACACAAATAGACGGCCCCCAGTCCCCGGCGGCCCTGCTATTTCTGGCTACGGAGGCGACCATGGTAACGGCGGGGCAGGGGGTGCTAAGAATCTCCGGTGGAGGTTCGGTTGCCACGTTCGACGACTCGATCTGGCAACATTTAACGCACGCACCCTGAGGACTGACGAGAAGATCCTCGAGCTGGAAGAAGAGATAGACAAGTTGCGCTGTAATATTATAGGATTATCCGAGGTCCGAAGAGAGGGGGAGGACACGGTGATTCTCGAATTCGGCAACTTGTTCTATCACCGGGAGGGCGACCATCTGTCCCAAGGAGGTGTCGGATTTATCGTCCACAAGTCTCTCGTCAACAACGTTGTAAAGATTGAGAGTGTGTCGACGAGGGTCGCGTATTTGATACTCAGAATCACCAAACGGTATTCGCTGAAGGTCATACAGGTTTACGCATCTACCTTGGCACATCCCGATGAGGAGGTGGAGGAAATGTATGAGGATATTTCCAAAGCCATGCATTCCTCCAAAACCCACTACACGGTGTTGATGGGAGACTTCAACGCAAAACTAGGCACAAGAGAAAACGGTGAGCTGAAGTTAGGGAAATTTGGAGTAGGGCAACGGAACCGAAGGGGCCAGCAGCTGGCCGACTTTATGGAGAAAGAGGGACTCTTTATGATGAACTCTTTCTTCCAGAAGCGGCCTCACAGGAAATGGACCTGGTCGAGCCCCGACGGTTCGACAAAAAATGAGATTGACTTCATTATGACGACCAGACGCCAACTGTTCAGTGATGTCTCAGTGATCGCAAGGGTGAAAACTGGCAGCGATCACCGAATGGTTAGAGGCACACTGAACCTAAACGTTAAGTTGGAGAGGTCTCGTCTAATGAAGTCAACGCTCCGTCCCCCTCGTGCTCTAATCCAGAATCCCGAAAACTTTCAGCTCGAGTTACGTAACCGCTTTCAGTGCCTATACAAGATTGCAATGCAGTGGACGATATGAATGACAAGCTCGTGGAAACTGTCCATGCGGTCGGAGCTAAGTACTGCAAGACCCGCCGCAGAAGAACACAAAAATTCTCCGATCCCACTCTTAATCTCATGGCTGTTAGACGGGAGATGAGGCTGCAATCGTCAACAGATTTAACAGCATACAGGCAACTGAACAGACATATCTCCAAATGCATGCGGTGAGACTTACGCAAGTTTAATACTGCTCGTATTAAAGAAGCGATCGAGCGGAACCAGGGCTTCAAAGTCTTTGCCAGAGATCTGTCTGCCAGTAAGAGCCAACTGTCAAAGCTGAAGATTGAGTGTGGCAGCATCGTTTCCGGGACACCTGAGATTTTGAGTGAGATTGAGAGGTTCTGTGCTGCCCACAGATGCCTGCAGACAGCTGTACACATCACCGTTAGAGTCACACGCAAGTGTGAGTAACGATCCAAGAGCAAGTCTTTTCCGACACTATTCCGATGATATCCCGGACGTCAGTCTAAGCGAGATTAGAATGGCTCTCCAGCACCTTAAAAACGGCAGTTCCTCGGGCGAGGATGGAATTACAGCGGAGCTTCTGAAAGCGGGTGGAACACCGGTACTTGAAGTCCTTCAGAAGCTCTTCAATTCCGTCCTCCATGGTGGCACTACTCCAGAGGCGTGGAGCAGAAGTACGGTGGTCTTGTTCTTTAAGAAAGGCGACAACGCTCTCTTGAAGAACTACAGACCGAATTCCCTTCTGAGCCGCGTCTACGTGCTGTTTTCGAGAGTCATTACGAATCGTCTCGGAATCGGTAGGGCTACGATGGCTATCCGAGTACAGAACCAGAGCTCGAAACCTACCCAACTGCAGAGAGGTGTAAGACAGAGTGACGTTATATCCCCGAAACTCTTCACCGCTGCATTGGAAGACGTTTTCAAGCTACTGGACTGGAAAGGATACGGTATTAACATCATTGGCAAGTACATCACTCACCTTCGATTTGCCAACGATATAGTCCTTATGGCAGAATCGCTGGAGGACTTAAGCACTATGCTCAATGACCTCAATAGTGCCTCCCAACGGATAGTTCTTAAGATGAACATGGACAAAACCAAGATTATGTTTAATGTCCATGTCACACCTATGCCGGTATTTGTTGGGAGCACTATGCTCGAAGTTGTTGACGAGTACGTTTACCTGGGACAAATAGTCCGACTAGGTAAGTCCAACTTCGACCGAGAGGTCAATCGACGGATTCAACTCGGCTGGGCAGCGTTCGGGAAATTACCACATATCTTCTCGTCAGGTATACCTCAATCTCTAAAAACTAGATTGTACAACCAGTGCGTTTTACCAGTGATTACTTACGGATCTGAGACGTGGTCCTTCACTGCTGGCCGTATGAGGACGCTCAAGGTCGCTCAGCGAGCTATGGAGAGGGCTATGCTCGGAGTTTCTCTGCGTGATATACTCAGAAATGAGGATATCCGCAGTAAAACCAGAGTGACCGACATAGCCCAACGGATTAGTAAGCTGAAGTGGCAATGGGCCGGCCATATAGCTCGAAGAACCGATAACCGATGGGGAAGAAAGGTTCTCGAGTGGCAGCCTCGTACCGGTAGGCGTAGTGTATGGCGACCCCCCACTAGATGGAATGACGACCTGGTAAGATATGCGGGGGGTCGATGGATGCAGGTGGCTCAGGACCGTGCTTTTTGGCATTACTTGGGGGAGGCCTATGTTCAGCAGTGGACTTGTGAAGGGCTGTAATGATGATGATGATGATGATGGTATTCCGTCAATTGCCTAATTTTCATTTCATCCATGACCAAGGTACAATAAATTTTTTTATCAGGGTTACTCTCCGCTTTCAATTTTAATGCCGTCAGCGCTTCTTGAGTAAACCCTGGTCGGCGATCGGTGGTAGTGTATCACTTAGTCAATGTCCGTGGTGCAGGCAAACATGTTCCAAAGGTTTTACGTACATAGCGATAGGCTTTTGGTGAGTAATATTTAAGTGTTAGGGCAGTATTTTTCATTTGGGCTGTTGTTTTTTTTTCATTCTCTGCAGGAGAGAAGTCTATATAAGGTTTTTCAATTGTGACTTTCAAGACAACTAGTGGAATTTTTCCGGAACATCCAGCTTTCTTTTTCCGATGTTGCTGATGTTGTGCAATCACCACGATCACCCTAAAAGAAATAATAATTTACTAATTTACTTACGTAAGTCAGGAGATTTATATAAATTTAATTCATATAAATTTAATTCATATACTTATAGTTATATATAAGTATATGAATTAAATTTGATAGATTAGATAGATGAATTAATGATCCTTTTGTAAACTTAATAAAATATTTTCAAGAAAAACAATATTGGGTTCACAAAGGTAATAATAAAAATATTTACTTTAAATCTAATTACAGCCAAACATTACCTCACACAAGTTCATGGTTGGTACTGCAGTGTCAGCTAAGCTTCTTTTATTGTAAGCTTGGGGTATGAAATATGATTTTTCAAAATGTTCGGAGCAAATGGTGCTAGCCCATTTGGGTATCCAAGATTCATGGTTTCTACAAGCTACAATCCAAGTTTGTTGCCTAAAGGATACTTTAGAAATCTGTCAAACAAACCAATAATAGAAAAATTTACTACTTTTTGTAATACTTTACTGTAATAGCTAAATAAAAACTACAAACCGGTTCGGCAGACAAACACGCATGGTTAACTAACTTATCGATAGCTAAAGTTGTGGCGTCCATCACTATAGTTCAATACTTTCGGTTGCAGTACCAGTTTATTTTTATAAAAATTGCACACTTTTGCTGCAAAGTAACAAGTTTCGATTTGACTAATTTGGCCTTTATTTTGTATAATATTTTGATAAATACTAGTTATCGATTATATTAAATTATATAATATTCAGTATCTTGTTGAAATTGTGCTGAATATATAAATCATTTCACAAAATCCACTACACATCTATATGTAGTGATTATTATTCAATGATTAGTTACTAGAAAATATATTTTCGTTAATATATTTAACTTGTGTAGTAAATTATATTTATTTAAAAATAGATTATTGTTCACTTTATGAACTATGATGGCCACACTTGGTATTGGACGAAAATATTCACAAAGTACGAGTTTTAATGATAAAATTACTTTAATATTATGTTAAAATTACTTTAAAATACTCACAGATGAAAAGTCACATTGTCCTATTGTATACTTGACGTTTTTGATTGTTTTTTTCATGTAAATACACTGCAATTCGGCATTTTGTCGGAGCTCGATTTACTGGCACGATCACTTCGAAATGACGCACGACGCGGAGCAACTAGTTTTATATAACGAGTATGAGTAACGGACTCTCGTACCTTTTACAGAGGGGTATGCCTTGCGTATGCCGTCTTTTTTTCTTCATACGGCAACACTTTATAGACTTGGCATTGGCAGCACTGTGAGGAGCTGAGGATTAATAGTGTTCTGTGGTATAAGATCTCTGACTAGTTGGAACTAGTTAATAGTTATCTGTGGTATAAGACTTCCACAACAAATGATGACAAATGAGGCATAGATTACTGCGTATATGAGGGTTTTATTGTAAAAAGTTTTTTACGTACTAAACATTACAAATCATAGAATAATTTAAATTACTGTAAGAAAAATTTATGTAAACAATTAGGTACTCTGAATGTGTAAATTGATTTACTGAAAGTTGTAGTGAGTATATTGCGGAATTCTATTTTAGTACATTACATCATTCAAACTGACAATACTTTTTTATAAATATTATTTCGAATATTTGTTTTATCAGGATAACAGAAACTTAGTTAAATTCGTCATCGAAGTTATTGAGCAACGCATTGTGTAAATTTATATTGCAATTGAGACGAAAATGCCAGGGTAAGCAACTCTCATACACTGGGAGTGGTCCACTTAAATGGATGCCAACCCACAACCTTCTGTTCATAAAAGTCACTTTTAATGTATGAATAGTTTTCTTCAATTATATTAGACCAACATACTTAACCAATTAATGAAAAAACATCAGCATCTTAATAATTAACCTCATAATAATAATTATACTTAACTATTATACCTTAATTATAACTTTATTATTATACTTACACTACATAAGTATTCATTTTCATTTAATATATTAAATGATGTAATATATGTAATACATGGTTTTCTATTTGTTTTCGCATAGTCACTGACTTCCTCATAATAGTGAAATTATAATTAAAAAAATCTCAATAAATGATCTCATGTTGCTTACACTAAAACAAATCATTCACATAGATTATAACTTTCTTTATGTTTAAATGGTGTTTTTCTTTCTATCATATTCATTTCTATTTTCGTGTTAATTTTTTAAATATTTTCTATAGTATTTGGTAGAAATTCGGATTGAAATATGGTAACATAACTAATTATATTGTATAATTGATTAAAATTTTAAACTTAACATTCATACACATCTTTTATTTCATGCAATGTAGCTTTTATACCATTTTCTTTTTTATAGAAATAGATATTTATAGTTTTGCCCAGAATGTGAAATAAATAGATACATCATTTTGGTATTACATACACACTTCTTCCTTCTCCCACTGACATCATTCTTAAAATGAGATAATGGGGTAGATTCTCTCATATCCATTCTTTTTTTTATAAATTTGAAGTGACAAACTACTAGACCACTTTTACACCCAACATAGATCAATCAAACAATTGATTCAACATAAAGACAAACAAAGAAGGCATTACGAAGGGAATACATGCATTGTCCCCCCTGAGGACTAAGATGAAATGCCTCATATCCTGAACAGCAGTGTATGCAGTTATCTACCCAGATAAACTTAGACAGAAAAGAAGTCTTACCATCTGGAAATCCACCATAGCTTTCTCTTTGTCACCAGCAAGCTACTATAAAACATGAGTGCACAATAATTTTAAAACAATATTACAAATTTGCAAACATCTTTTCTTAATTTAGCAGGATTTCCTTCTAGCTTTTTAATGTCAATAGTGCTTATCATTTAAAAATCAATTAATTTAAATTGTATATAATCAAATTTCTTATTCGCAACTTTTTACAGCATCGCTAACATGTCTCTTGACAATATGTTTTGTACCCGTTGTGGGGATGGCTTTGAGCCTAATGAGAAGATTGTTAACTCTAATGGAGAACTATGGCATACCAACTGTTTTGTGTGAGTATTTTATCTATTATCTGAATGGCTTATAATACAAACTAAGATGTATAAATATACAATACTAAATAAAAATTGTATAATAAACTAACATATTCCAACATAGTAAGAAAACATGGAATTTACATCCCAACTCACTTTTTTATTCCATTAAATAATGTTGTCCCCAAACTGAGATTTTCTCTTGTATTGTGGAGGCAATTTACATACTTAAATTTCACAAATACAAATGTCCACACCTGGAATAATTATTTGTGGGTTATACTATTTGTTCCTTGTAAGATTCATACCCACAGCCATTTTAGTCTCATTCTTTTATTGTGTAAGAATTACATTGGATTCAGGAGGATCAAGTGGTGAACATTTTTATAATTGCAGAATAACTAATAATATACAGTTGAAATATTGCTGTTAGTCACCTTTAAAGTTAGAAAAGGATGTGACAAGTAATTTCAAGTTTTGATATTGAACACTGTTACCTAAGTTACAAATGCTTAAACAACTATAATCTTAACTTCAAAATTGAAATAATACTAGTTTTTACGGAATTTATATATATATATATATAAATTCTGTAAAAACTAGGGGGATAAGTCGCTCGCCTCCGTAGGCTTTGACCACCTGTTCCTAGGCCCACTCTACACGTGTCCCCCGGGTGGTGCTAAATGAGCGACAAGCCGATAGCACAGACTCGGCTCCACGCCGTGGTAGCGGCCTAAAATATTCTACCCCATATTTCGCACCATGACTAACCAAATAAAGGAAATGGCCCCGAGTTCCCGGCGCCCCTTTAAGGGGGCAGGGGTGCGAATAATCTCCGGGAGGAAAACCGGCGACGAGGTTCGCCACCCGTCACGTTCTGTCTCCCGGAGAGGCGAAAAGTGGATTGCAGAGGCCCGTCTGGCTACGTTGAATGTATGTGGGGCAATGAATGATAAAATGGATGAAGTATGCGATATGATGTATGATAGAGGAATAGATGTGTTATGCGTAAATGAGACGAAAAGGAAGGGGAAGGATGTCACTACACATGGCATGTATACCGCATACTGGTCTGGTGTAGACGAGATCGAGCGGGCATGCCAGGGAGTAGGTATCATCCTTTCAGAAAGAATGGGCCAATGTGTGAAAGAGTACGAATGTGTAAGCCCAAGACTGCTATGGATACGAATGAAAGTGGGCTTAAAGAAGTTGTTCGTGTTAGGGGTCTACGCCCCAGACATGTCTAAGCCCACTTATATCCGAGAGCAGTTTTGGGAAATGGTAAGGATGGTGTTAATGAAGTGTAAGGGAAATGAAAATATTATTATGCTAGGAGATTTTAATGGAAGGGTTGGGGTGAGGAGGCTTGGTTATGAAAGGATATTGGGAACGTTTGGTGATGAAAGTATAAATGAGAATGGTGAAAGTCTCCTCACCGTATGTATGGAAAAGAATCTTTTTGTGACGAACACTTGCTTTCGCCATAAGAGGATTCATATGTATACTTGGGAAAGAGGTGACGATAGAAGCATGATAGATTTCATAATTGTGGATGAAAGATTGAGGGGCGCAGTGGTGGATACAAGGGTTTACCGGGGTTCTAACGTAGGAACGGATCATTATTTGGTTTTATGCCGAATTAATGGTCTATTCAGGCGTTGGCGCCATCGGTCATCTGTGTCTACCACTGCGTTACAGCGTATTAGAACAGAAAGGTTGCAAGATGAAGGTGAGAGAAACAAGTTCAAATGTAGACTGAAAGAAAATATAAGTGGTTTGGATGAATTATGTATGAAGGAGTTAGACTTGGAGAATGTATGGCAAAATGTAAAGAAATGTTTAGTGCATGCAGCTACCGAAGTATGTGGTGTTAGTAAGAGAAAGAATGAAAGGAAAAATAATACGTTATGGTGGGATGATGAGATACTTATGGAAGTTGAAGCAAAGAAGAGAGCATGGCTAGATTTACTAGCAACAAAGGCTGGTAATTCTAGCGGTACTAATGATGATATTGAAAGAAAACAGGCAGTCTTTACACATCTTAATAAGAGAGTAAAAGTAGTAGTTGAAAGAAAAAAGCAAGAAAGAACGGATAAGAATGATAGAAGAATATCGGATAACTTCCAGGCAAATATTAAAATGTTCTGGAAACTGGTAAGAACTGCCAGGGGACATTCAAAACAGCCGATGATTAATGCTATAAGAAACGAGAATGGCTATATTCTGAATGATGAAGTTTTGAGTTTAAAGAGATTGAAGGAATATTTTGAAAGCGTGTTTATGAGTGAGGAGATAACATGTGTACTAAGTGAAGTAGAAACTCCGAAAGAAGAGGAAAGAGGTAGCGAGATAAGTATAGATGAAATAATGAAAGCAATGAAAAGCATGAAAGCGGGTAAGGCGCCCGGATATGATAGAGTTTCACTCGAAATGCTAAGGGCTGGAGAGGAGGTGGTGGCAGGCCTGCTGCACACCTTGTTTAATTTATGCTGGGAACTGAAGCGGGTACCGGTAGACTGGTGCAAAGCCGTGATAGTCCCAGTATATAAAGGAAAAGGGTCGCAGCAGGACTGTAAAAACTACCGTGGCATCAGCCTTCTTAGCATTGTGGGAAAACTGTACGCTAAGGTACTGATTGAAAGGGTCATGAAAGAAACTGATGGAAAAATTTGGGATGTGCAAGCGGGATTTAGAAAGAGAATGGGATGTACAGATCAAGTCTTTTCCATGCGCATGATCGCGGAGAAGTTTTTGGCCAAAAACCAAAAGGTTTTTTGTGCGTTCATGGACTTGGAAAAGGCCTATGACAGAGTGGATAGGGATTTGCTATGGCAAACACTGAACTCATTTGGGTTGAGCGCTGGCTTGATACAGGCATTGGAGTCTCTTTATAGGGACTCTAGTGCTTGTGTTAGGATCAACGGGGTCTACTCGGACTGGTTTGACATCCATAAAGGTGTCAGACAGGGCTGTGTGGCTTCCCCGTGGCTGTTCAACCTATTTATGGACAGTTGTTTGCAAAATTTGAAAGTTGAAGAATGCGGATTAAGAATGGGTGAGTTAACCGTCAAATGCCTTTTGTACGCCGATGATCAAGTCATTCTTGCGTCGTCGGCGGCCGAGTTGCAAATGATGGTTACATTAATGAACGGATCATTAAAAGAAAGGGGTATGAAAGTGAACGCAAGTAAGACGAAGGTTATGGTTTTTGAAAGAGAAGAAAGTAAAACGATTTGTGAAATAAGAATAGAAGGGGAGTTGATCGAGCAAGTAGATGAGTTTGTATATTTGGGCTGCGTATTTAGCAGGGATGGGAGATATGATAAGGATATAGAACGACGAGTGAATGTGGGAAATAGAGTAAATGGGGCCTTGCACTCTATTGTGAAGAGTCAAAATGTGTAGAAAAAGGCACGTATGGCAATTCACAATGCTGTGTTGGTTCCTACTTTAACGTATGGTAGTGAAAGTTGGGTGTGGCAGAAGAAGCACGAGAGTAGAATAAACGCAGTAGAAATGCGGTCGTTAAGGAGTATGTTAGGGCTGAATCTGAATGACAGGGTAAGAAATTATGTAATAAGAGAAGAGTGTGGTTTGCAAGATGATGTTGTGACCAGGATTAAGAAAGGAATGCTTCGGTGGTTTGGTCATGTGGAAAGAATGAATGAGGAAAGAGTGACAAAGAAAATTTATGGTGCAGAAGTGAATGGCAGAGTCGGAAAGGGACGTCCCAGGCGAAAATTTATCGACCAAATTGGCGATTTATTGGAAACGGGCCAAATTAGGAGTACCCTTAACCGACGAGCATGTATGCGTAGGTGTATGGATGTGAAGGAGGCGAGAGAGGTGTGTCAGGATCGTGCCAAATGGAAATCTGTAGTCTCTGCCTACCCCTCTGGGTGACAGGCGTGAGTGTGTTTATGTTTATTTATGTTTATATATATATATATATATATATATATATATATATATTTAACTTTTTAAATAACCGACGTTTCGAACGCTTTACAGCACTCATGGTCACGGGCGGGACTGAGATGTTCAACGTCCAGATGTCATAGTTAACCGCGGTTACCATAGATTAAAATTTAACTTTTGTTCCGATCTACACAGTATGAACTTATGGTATCTTGAAGTCTTGCAGTTGTATGCTTGGGTTGGGATTTAATTTTATTTATTATAGGATCCCAAGCAGATGGTAGCACCCAGCCATCTTCTCTATTGAAATTAGGATTTTTTTTGATTTCATTAGCCTCGCAAATCATCCTTGGAAGGAATCTGTGTTCTTTAGCGAGGATTTGTGGTCTATCAAATCTGATGTAGTGACGGGGGGCGATCCTGTACGTGTTCACAGACTGCAGACTTCGCATCGACGCTTCGGGAACACGTACAGGATCGCCCCAGTCACTACATCAGATTTGATAGACCACAAATCCTCGTTAAAAGACACCGAGTCCTTCCAAGGATGATTCGCGAGGCTATTGAAATCAAAAAACATTCTAATTTTAATAGAGAAGATGGCTGTGTGCTACCATCTGCTTGGGATCCTATAATAAATAAAATTAAATCCCAACCCAAGCATACAACTGCAAGACTTCAAGATACCATAAGTTCATACTGTGTAGATCGGAACAAAAGTTAAATTTTAATCTATGGTAACCGCAGTTAACTATGACATTTGGATGTTGAACATCTCAGTCCCCCTCGTGACCATGAGTGCTGTAAAGCATTCGAAACGTCGGTTATTTAAAAAGTTAAATATACATGATAAATTCCAAAAATACTAGTATTATTTCAATGTGTAGTGTTCGCGTAAATATAAGAAATCATTAACTTCAAAATTTGAATATCCTTAACAGTGCTATGCTTATAAGTATGAGACTGCCACTCTAGAACCTTTCTTTGCCATCAGTTGTTGATTCTTCAAACTATATGGCTGGCCCATTGCCACTGCAGTTTACTGATTAGTTAAGCTATGTTGGCTGTTGTGGTTCTATTATAGATATTGTATTATAGTAATTATTATATATACTATAAATAATGTAATTTATTATACTGAATGAAAATATATTTTATACTTCAGATGCGCACAATGCTTCCGCATGTTTCCTGAAGGTGTATTTTACGAATTTGAAGGTCGCAAATACTGCGAAAGAGATTTTCAAGTTCTGTTTGCACCATGTTGTGGAAAATGTGGTATGTATTTTTTTCATTTCAGCCGTTAAAATTTTTTTTTGCATAGTAACACTACTTAATTTGCATATATATTATGATTAATAACAGGAAATAAAGTAAAGTAAAACAAATAACTGTTTTCCATAGAAAAGTCCTGTCATTTTGTTGCAAACATTATTAACAAGTGTGGAAAAAAAACGAATGAATTATTATTTTTTTTGCACACTTGTGTTCAACTTACGTTGCAGATTACACTTCTCGTAAGCAAAAAATTGTACTGCATTTTGTTGAAAATCGAAAAATCCTGGCATTTGCGAAAGCCGACCGCCATACTGACAAAAGTCCTAATATTTCAGGACAAATCCTGACATATTATGGTATCTCTACCCACAACGATGCAATTTATATCAAAATTTTAATTATATTATTATTCAAATTACTCCAACCATAGGGACTATAGAGATCACATTCTGCTTATAAATGTAGAAATATTCATTCTGATTTTTAGCCAGTTTATTTATATTCGACTGTATTTTTTTTTTTGTATTGATTACATGATTTTTTTTATCAAGCAAGTTATATCTCAAAGATGGTCATTTGAATTTTAAGTAAAAATTCTACCTTTAAGAGTGGCAAAATAAAATGAAAAGAGACATTCTGGTTGTTTATTATACCTCTATTAGCTTAAGGTTATCATAGTGCTTAGACCCCTCAAAAAAGTCAAATAATAACTTCTTTTAAGATAGTAATTTAAAAGAGTCTGAAGTTACTGCTAAGACATGGTGTAATAAAGAATTAAAGCCCAAGCTCAGAGCCTATATTACAAATTTGGTTGTACTCCAACTTGTCTAGGGCATCCCTTTCTGATTGCCGTATTTTGTATTGTCACTCTTTCCTCATTCATTCTTCCTACAAGACCAAACCACCGAAGCATTCTTTTCTTAATTCTGGTCACAACACCATCTTGCAAACCACATTTTTCTCTTATTACACAATTTCTCACCTTGTCATTCAGATTTAGCACTAACATACTCCTTAATGACCGCATTTCTACAGCATTTATTCTACTCTCGTGTTTTTACTGTTATACCCAACTTTTACCACCATACATTAAGACACATTTTCACTTCCCACAATAGAGAGCCCCATTTACTCTGTGTGCCCCACATACACTTATCATATCTACCGTTTCTACTAAGCACACATCCTAAATACACAATCTCATCAATTTGTTCAACCTACACTCCTATTAACATTTCAGATGTTGTTTTACTTTGTTCTCTTTTAACAACCATCACTTTCGTTCCCTTTTCTCTTAATGACCTGTTCTAATGTAACCATCATTAGCTACGTGGCCGCTGACGATTCAAATATGACTTGATCATCGGCATACAAAAGGCATTTGATGTTTTTATATTATTTTTAAATTGAATATATTTATCATCTTATCCCCAAGAATTGAAAGACAAAGTATAAGTATATTTATGGATTATAATATAATAAGTGTAAATATACTTTTACAATTTAAAAAAAAATTGTGATTTTATACAGCTTTTGGTTGTCTTTGCTTTCAGGAGAGTTCGTAATCGGGCGCGTGATTAAAGCGATGAATGCTAACTGGCATCCGGCGTGTTTTCGCTGTGAGGAGTGCAACGACGAACTGGCCGACGCCGGCTTTATCAAGAATGCGGGTCGCGCTCTCTGCCACACCTGTAATGCACGCATTAAGGCCGATGGGCTTCAGAATTATATGTGCCACAAGTGCCAGTTAGTAATATTGAATGTATTACACATTTAACACTTAAAACCAAAAAAAAACAAAATGGAAATTTACGAACCATCATAAGTGTATAAAAGTAACTCGCTCTAGCCGTGAAATTAACCAAAGTGCTTTGAATCGATAGGGCTGTTAGCTCCTGCCGGCCGTCTTTTACACTTGTCACAGTTATGAACGCTTACAGTATGATTCAAATGTATCATAACTATGATAAATGAAGAGACCATCTTTCTCGTTCCGTGAGTTCGTCCATACATCATATGAGGACAATAGGAAATACCATCTTGTTTACGCCAAACGTAAAATATCAAGACTGGAGACGGGCAGCACTAGTAGCGACACAGCAGTGCAAGACGTTTGGTACTACGCGATCGTTAATCCGTGTCAGTTGTTAATGTGAGTTCTTATTTTTATCCCATGACACACAACAGTGGTGACAACAACCATACGGTCAACCTGGTGATCAGTGGATGCCTGAACCCTCTACTCTCACATCAATCCTCAATTCCTTTATTAATAATAAAAATGAAGAAACAATGTTCTCCCTGTAAACTAAGATGGAATAGCATTACCAAGAAAAAAGGGACCCCAGCTCTCAGTGCAATACACAAGCATACAACTATTTCACGCTTAATATTTTGTGCGACCGTATTACGCTGCAGTGTGGCTCTATTGTGTATATAATATATTAGTTACATGCTTACTCCGGCCTCGCCGAATAATAAAAAAATTAACCCCCCAACAGCGGGGTGATCGACGGCGAGCCGCTGCGGTACCGCGGCGAGGTGTACCACGGCTACCACTTCTCGTGCGCCACGTGCGGCATGGAGCTCGACCACACCGCGCGCGAGGTCAAGCACCGTCCGGGCTACGCCGCCAACGACGTCGTGAGTACACACACTCTTCATTTCAATTTGTATTAGATATTTTAGTATAAGTGAACTGGTTGTGAAATACATATAAAGTAATGTGGCTGAGGGAGGAAAAGGGGAGATCTCCCGCCGGGCAAGGTGTTCTGCCCGGGGAGCGGCCAACATTCCGTGTGATAGTTCGGAGATGTTCTATATATATACTGTTTATGATTCGGAATTTTGATAGCGTGATTTAGGCTTCGGTGTGTTTCGCTTGCGGCGCGACGACAACGCCGCCACAGTAAGATTATTTTAAAATTTAAACAAATGGAGTCGATATGGAGTGTAGATGTGAAAGTACCGTATAGAATCACAAGCAATAGAAATAGAACTTATCATTTAACAATCTACGTTAATCGCAAGGCTAAGGATCGGCGTAAGCGCAAGCGGCACGGGTTTCACGTCAGACAGCTAGATCGCGACTGGTCGGTCGATCTCGATGTTCGAATGCGGCCGATGAACATACCGTGACGTAGGCGCATTATTATACACGGCGTTGATAAGAAAATGAAGTACCAATGTAATTCAACTGGTTGGCGCGGAGAGTTAATACAATACATATAATACTAAAAGTCAATTTTACTATAATAAATAGAAATAGGATAATATAAATATATATGTGTGTAATTGTAATCATTAGAGCCATTTATTTCCGAACTTTGGGGTTACATAATATTTGTGTTTGAGTTCCTATTGTAATACTAGTTAAAGTAAGTCCCTCAGTTCAGTGTGCCTTTTGGCATAGGCCTCCTCCAACTGCTTCCATTGGGTTCCGTCTGCTGCTACCCTTATCCAGTATGGTCCCAAGGTTTTCTAACGCCATCTCTTGTGTACCATAGGGTTACCTGCTTGCTCCATTTATTGGTCTTGCAACGAATCATGTGACCTGTCCAGCCCCATTTCAGATGGTCGATTCGGGTCAGAATGTCAGCAACCTTGGTATTATTTCTTATTTCCTTGTTGTTAATTCTATCCTTGAGTTTTATTCCGAACATACTCCTCTCCATTCCTCGTTGACATTTCGCAAGTTTATCCCGGTGGTTTTGGTTGAGGGACCACGTCTCACAACCATATGTGATTCAGGGGAGAATACAGGTGTTAAATGTTTTTTTCTTGGTAGAGATGCTTAGCTCTTTACTTTTCATTATTTCTCTCAGAGACTAGTATTTTTTCCAACCACTAGCAACCCTTTTGTTAATAGCCTTAGATGTTTGGTCACTAGGGGCAATTACATAATTGACCCAAGTACTCTTGCACATATTCAAGTCTTTTTCCATCTAATTCTATGTTGACTTTTGTAGAATTGGTCATCAGTTTTGTTTTGATTGTGTTCATTTCGAGACCTGCTTCTTTGTTGGCTAGAGTTGGTACCATTGCTTGTAGTTTACTTGGGTCTTCTTCCAGCAAGATAATATCGTCAGCAAACCTCAAATGATTTAAAAGACTGCCATTGATGTTGAGGCCGTATTCATCCCAGTCTAGTCTTCTGAAGATATCCTCCAGCACAGCCGTAAAAGTTTGGGGGACAGTGGGTCTCCTTGTCTGACGCCTCTATTAATGGTAAATAGGTCTCCTTTCGATTCCAGTTTGATGCGGCTTTTGCTCATGCTATAAATGTTTCTGAGTATCTCAATATGGGTATTATCTACTCCTTGCCATCTCAAAGCTGACCAAATGTATTTATGTTTCAAACTGTCAAATGCTTTTGAGTAGTCTATAAAAGCTATGTAAACGGGTTTTTGGTATTCTTTACTTTTTTTTAAATATTTGTTTGATAGTGTGGATGTGGTCAATTGTGCTGTAGTTTTTTCTGAAGCCTGCCAGCTCTATTTGGGTTGATTTGCGTCTAGAGTTTTTGTAATTCTTTCTAGCAATACTTTTGCGATCACCTTATAGACGTTTGAGATCAAACTAATTGGTCTATAATTGTCAATGACTTCCCTAGGCCCTTTTTTATGCAGGAGAATTATGTGGGACTCTCCCCACTGATTTGGAATGACGCCCGACTTGAGTATGTCGTTAAATATCCTGGTGAGAATTGGAGCCAGTTCCTCTGCCGTGCCCCTCATGAGCTCGTTTGGTATGTTGTCCGGCCCTGGAGCTCTATCTAGTTTTTGAGAGTGTATGGCTCTCTTTACCTCTGCTATAAGTATGGGCGGTACGTCGTCATATCTATTTGTTGGCGACTTATTGGTTTCTAATTCATGGTCTTCATCTATATTCGAGTAGAGAGCTTTATAATATTCCGTAGCTAATTTCTGAATTTCTTTACGTTTTGTTACATGACTGGATTTGTTGCTTTTGAGTCTAGGAATCCATTCTTTCCATGATCCTTTAACTCCTTAAAAGCTTTTTCGTTCCGCCTGTTCTTTTAATTGTGTCTTCTAGTTTTTTTTTATTATTTTTATCTTCCTGTCTTTTCTCATACTTTCCCGTATCTGTTTGCTAAGGTTGGAAGTTCTGTTAAGGTTTTCTTTACTTTTATTTTTATTTAGAATTAGTAATTTTCTTTCTTCTAACAGCTCTATTGTTTTGTCACTGAATTTTTTCCTGTCCTTTATCGTAATAATTTTCTTAATTTCTGATAGTTTCTTGTCCAGGTAATCATATTTAACTCGAACACTCAGATCAGAGTTAGCAATTTCATACAGTGGCATGATGTGAGCTGGTTCAATATTTTTCGAGTACTGTTCTGGTAACAATATCGGAGTGTTTGTTATAGCTTTCCTCGACTTTTTTGTTGGACACATCTTTAGGCGCCCGCGCACCATTCGGTGGTTAGTGTTGAAATTCAAATTCTGTATAACTTGTGCATCATTAAAATGCCTTACTCTGTTTGTTAAAATAAAATGGCATAAAATATAAATGGCCTATATTTCTAAAAGAGAATACATTTTTTGATGTTTTATTCTGTTGACAAATATAACTAAAATGTTGATTGTTTTACCTGTTAACAACAGGTAAAACAATCAAACATTTATTATATTTGTATAAAATATTCATGTAAATCATTCGAAAACAATAAAACATATTTTCCATTATTATAAAAAAAATGTTTTTGTTGATTCTCGTGAGAGCTCCAAATAATCCTAATATCTGTATCAAGTTATGTAACGGGATGCAAAGAAATAAAATTATTGTTTACGTTTTCTGTGGCAGTTGATACCCATAACAATGAAAGTCGGGTTAAGCGACGTTATTAATTACAAAAATATGAAAACAAATTGAGAAATCAAGCGCAAGGATCAGCCAAAAAATAATTTACAATATTTGGTAATTGCCATAATCAAATTGAATAGGACATATTTTCTTTCACGGTATCACCATATTTAGTGCTCGCGGTAAATTTCACAATACGCGAGCAAACCGGGTTCGATCGCCACCGGCACCAATGAAATTGTTAATTGCAATTTTAAGTGCTGATTTACCACGCGCTCGGCGGTGAAGGAAAACATCGTGAGGAAACCTGCATGTCTGAGAAATAAGAAAAAAAATATTTCGAAGACATGTGAAGTTCGCCAACACGCATTGGGGCAGCGCGGCGTACTATTACTTGCCCTAAAACCCTCTCAGAAATGAGAGGAGGCCTGTGCCCAGCAGTGGGACGTATATAGGCTGTAACTTTACTTTTTTTATCACCACATGGTAGAATACAATCTCTAGGGCTTAACATAAAGTAATATTTCAGAATAATCTGTTCTGCCTGCGATGCCATGATAAAATGGGCATTCCGATATGTGGGGCTTGCCGTCGCCCAATCGAAGAGAGAATCGTCACCGCTCTTGGAAAGCATTGGCATGTTGAGGTATATTTTAATTATTTTCATAATACTATTATATTTTAAAAATAAATGTAGGATTCACCAATTTTATCATTACTTTTTAATTTTGCAATTATATTAAAAGTAATTATTTTTCATCAGTCGAGAATCCAGATATAATAGTAACAATTTCAAGGCTGCATTTTGCCTTTGATTGTATTTATATGTAGAGAATTTGATATTACCATCATGATTCTGTGCACAATTAGGTCCGACAGTTTCAAGTTATTTTTTTTATAGCATAGAGTTACAAACGAGCACACGGCCCACATGATGGTAAGTGGATGCTGTAGCCCATCGACATCCACATTTATTCATAAAAACCAATAAGCAGATGCGTTGTCATTCCTGAGGACTAAGATAGAATGCATAAGATAGAATAAATATATAGGATAGGGTGACAAACGAGCACACAGTCCACCTGATGGTAAGTGGATGCTGTAGCCCATCGACATCCACATTTATTTATAAAAACCAATATGCAGATGCGTTATCATCCTGAGGACTAAGATAGAATGCATAAGATAGAATAAATATATAGGATAGGGTGACAAACGAGCACACAGTCCACTGATGGTAAGTGGTTGCTGTGGCCCATAGACATCTACACCTATGCTCGATTACGAACCAAAATGCAGATGCGTTGTTACCCGTGAGAACTAAGATGGAATGCCTCGTTTCAAGTAAAAAGGGTCTCCGGTTCTCTACACTCACCATACGAACAGCATTAAGCTACTAATTTACACTGGTATTCTGTGAGAGCATTGTCATTCCCCAGTCAGCCCGACCCACTCATGCTACAACTATAACTGCAGCATAGCTCTGCCGTGTATAAAGTTAATAGCAGGTTGTCAGTTTATGACAGAAAATCATTGTATTGGTACCTAAACTAAAAATTTTAGCATGTAGAGTGTAGACCATGGTTCATGTATTTATAATTATGATATATGTGAGGGTAGATAATAATGAGCGGTCGTTATCATAAGTCGTAACTCATAACTACGACAGTTTTTTCATTTTATTTTTGTAGCATTTTGTTTGCGCCAAATGTGAAAAACCATTCCACGGGCATCGCCACTATGAGAAAAAGGGGCTGGCGTATTGCGAGCAACACTACCATCAGTTATTTGGAAACCTTTGCTATGTGTGTAATCAAGTTATCGCCGGCGATGGTGAGTCACTTCATTTTTACAATCTTTGGTACCACCATACCAGCTTGGTATGGTAAAAAAATTAGCTCAGTTCAAAAACACTAACACTAAATAATTAGAATTATTTCCTTGCATTTCTTTATTAATTTTGTTTATAGAAGCAATAGTGACAATGAAGTACAACTTTCCACTTATTGCAAGTGTATGCTGTAGTCTACATACACCAACATCTAACTTTAATTAGGAATAATAGTGAGATGCACTGTCACCCTTCAGGAATAAGTGCCTCATTACCAGTAAAAGTGTCTTCCATATTATAATGCACAGTTTTATAAAAATATATCACAAAATTGTTTTAATATTTCGACAATTTGCACTATATTAGAGTCTGTTTCTTTATATTATTATTTTAAGCCGGAGCTTCACTACATTCTCACCTGATGGTAAGTGGTGATATAGCTGAAGATGGTGAAGTGCACTGACTTAACAAAAGCTTATTCACTGTTGTCTTGAAGGTACAACATTGTAATCGGATGGAAAGACAGATTCTGGCAACTTATTCCACTCCTTTGCTGTGTGCATGACGAACGATGTAGCAAAACATTTAGTACGAATGTGTAAGTCCACAACGAAAGGGTGGAGTCTTTTTTTTGTAGGATAAGGTGACAAACGAGCCCACAGTCCACCTGATGGTAAGTGGTTGCTGCGGCCCATAGGCATCTACATCCATCCTTAACAGTGGCGAAGCTAGAGCTCCAAACTAGGGCAAGCCCAAGATATAAATTGATAAAAATATAGATTGTTGTTTTTAGCAGTTTTTTAAAAATGCACCAATCTTGATCTGTCTCCACTCTTCAGTGCTGTCAAGGACGTGTTTAACAAAGCACACAGAAGGCATACTATTGCTAGATAGATTGTATTACATATCAGCAATTGCATAGCTTCGGTGGCTTTGAAGAAAGCCGTTTGGGTTTGTTTGAGCGAAAGAAAATTTACATACAATACAATAAATGAACACAGTACAAACAATGTACAAATTAAAGAAAAAATATTTACATTCTAAATGGAATCGTCTTCCTTTCTGGAAAGATTTAATTACGCCCACGTAAAATGTTGGTGAACGTTTTAATTGTACCAATAACTGTTTTTTAATTGCGATAATTGATAAGTCTGAAATACACTCTTGACCTATTATCTCAACAAAGTTTAAAGATTTTACCTTTTCCTCACCGATTAGCACTTTAACAAACTTCAATTCATCACAAGGAACACTATTATCTTCCATTTTCACTAAAAATCTTTAAGCGATTTATAAAATATGTAAAATGTATACATTTTATATATTTTATAAATCGCTTAAGCTAAACATACAGAGTAAACAGACATTGAAATGTGAAATGAACTTGCAAACGTATTGCCCGCGCGCCTCCGCTTTTGACAACTTAATTCCTATAAAGCCTGGCTTTAAATCTCTATACTAATTGCGATATATACAATCGTAGTTATATTTCATTATATAATATTTTGCCATAGGTTAGAAGGAGAGCGATCGTCTTCTCGAAAGTCTCGTAAAAAGCCCACGCGAGCGAGAGAGACAACTAATAGCTCTATTAAAATTTATTTTTTATGACAGCAGCCATATCGCTAAGACAATACGAGGTCATCGGTCGACCTGTGTCGACCAGTGGAGTGCGCGGGAAATTTGAAATAGTTTGAAACAGTTTACGAGTTATTTTATTAGTTGATATTATTGATTAATTCAGTTATAATAAGGCAAGCTCGGCTTTTCGGCTTCTATGGAGGCTTCGCCACTGTCCTTAACTACAAATCAAAATGCAGATGCGTTGTTACCCGCGAGGGCTAAGATAGAATGCCTCGTTTCCAGTAAAAAGGGTCTCCGGTTCTCTACACTCACCATACGAAACACGGTAGCATTAAGCTACTATTTCACGCTTGTATTCTGTGTGAGCGTGGTCCTTCCCCGGTCGAGCCGACCCATTCGTGCTACAAATATACTACTAATATAACTGCAGCATGGCTCTACCACGTATAAAAGTCTGGCCGAGCATCTGGTTGTCTGTTTAAAAATTTGAGGCAGCGCAGCATCTTCCCTGCTCAAGAACCCAAGCCTGTTTGTGTTCAGATGTGGGTTTTCAGTTCATTTGTATTATCAGTGTTCACGGCGTTGAACAAGGCGTGGTGCGTGCATCACTTCGCGTGCGCAGTGTGCGACACGGCGCTGAGCACGCGTAGCAAGTTCTACGAGTACGACGAGCGGCCCGCGTGCCGCCGCTGCTACGAGCGCTTCCCGCAGGAGCTACGCCGCCGCCTACGCCGGGCGCATAACTACTCGCCGCGCAGGAACTAACGCACGGGTAATGTACGTGTAAACGCTGACCTTAAAAAGCAGTAGACTGGCTCTAGCAAATTATTATTTGCTGTACTATGCGATTCTAATAATAGGACTGATCAGGTGCCATATTGTTACATCATAGTAGTCATTTCAATCTAGCTAGGCAAGGTGAGCAAGACATATACATCCATACTAATATTATAAATGTGAAAGTGTGTTTGTTTGTTTGTCCTTCTTTCACGTCGCAACAGAGCGTCGGCATGGCATGATTTTTTGTATGGGGATAGTTCGGTGCCTGTAGAGTGATATAGGTTTTTCCGCGGAAAAATTCATTCCCGTGGGAAAATCGAATATGTTGCAAAATTAAATTCAGCTAGGTGTCGCCACCGTGATTCTACAAGACGGACGACGGTACGATGGACGAACACAGAAGATCAGAATATCTAGATTATTATGTCTTTTTACCAAAATAATTAAGATAAAAAATGTTATGGATCTGTATTTTTCCACGCAGGACGGGAAGAGAGCGATAAAAAACATAAAATTCACCAGCTGATTTTCTTCGAACGTTTTGGTGCATTGTAATTCAAAGAATAGGCGATAACCTCGCAGACGATATTAAGTAATCCGTTGATGCTCTGCCTACCCCGCAAGGGTTACAGGCGTGATCATAAGTATGAATCAGAAATACTATCACCACCTGTCACGCTTTCACCCTTAACTATTACTTAACTGTGGTAGAAACAGTTCTTAGTAAGCCTTATTAGCCTTAGTAATATTTATTGAACGGAAATGAATACAGTTCTTATATGTGGTTATGAATGAATCGGTATTACAATAAGAAAAATTGTGCAAAATTATAAGAAAAATATTTTTTGAGTTCTTATTAACTAACGTATACATAGTTTAAATTGATTTCGCTAGATGTCGTTACTAGGTTTTTAAAAAGCGGCGACGAAATGTTTCCTGGCATGTACTTAACTCCCGCCGTTGAGCCGCGCGTCCACTTATAGTGCATACGGTACTTATACGCTTAAATTGTTTCTATTTCGTAGCTTATTCGACTACCTGCTTTCGATTTCGGTTGTTTATTTGCTTTGTGATTTGGTTAAGGTTGAATAGATTAATATTGGCTTTCATTTTCGGATTTGTGTATTTTCTTGGATCGGTTTTGTTGTTTGGTTGGTATTCCTTTATACATATTTAGACTCTGGCTTTGATTTTGGATTTTGTTTATTTAGAATCGTGAATTGGTTTTCGTTGTTTTAGGTTGAACAATATTTCAAAAGAATATTAATAGTATAGATAGTGTATACGGTACCTATACACTTACTTCGTTTTTCGTTGGTTATATTTATATTGACTACTGCTTTCGATTTCGGTTTTCTGCGATTTGTTTTGTGATTTGGTTTAAGTTGATTCGATTCTTTTTTTTGGCTATCGTTTTCGGCTTCATGTTGTGTCTTGAATTGGTTTTGTTGTTTTGATTTTAAAAAAATATTTAAAAGGAATATTTATTCCTTTTAGACATTTTGGATTTGCTTTTAAAAAATATTTAAAAGGCAATTTAATTCCTTTTAAGTATTTTAACGTTTTTTTATAAATAGGTTTTTTGTTACTTCATAATGCCTCGCAAACGTAAGTCCAGCCTTTCAAGAGTATCTTCTCAAAGACAAGCGAAAAGATCAGCTCAATCGCTAGAATCTTTAGAAGATGCTGAACTGAGAAGGTAAGAACAAGCAGAGCGTCAGGCTGCTTTTAGAGCATCTGAGACACCTTCTCAATGTCAGCAAAGACGTCTTGAACAGGCATAGCGTCAGGCTGCTTTAAGAGCTTCCGAAACACCTTCTCAAAGTCAGGAAAGGCGTCTTGAACAGGCAGAGCGTCAAGCTACTTTAAGAGCTTCTGAAACACCTTCTCAAAGTCAGCGAAGGCGTCTTGAACAGGCAGAGCGTCAAGCTACTTTAAGAGCTACTGAAACACCTGCTCAAAGTCAGCAATGAAAGGAGGTAAGGCTTTAAGAGCTAGAAACACCTGCTCAAAGTCAGCCTTTAGGCCAAGAGCGCGTCTTGAACAGGCAGAGCGTCAAGTAATTAGCTACTGAATGTTAGAGAGCTACTGAAACACCTGCATTGGTCGGTTTTTAATGACGCAGCATTCAATTATGATCCGTTGATTGATTATAAAAATCACAGGTTAGTTGTTATCGGACTGATGGACAAGGCGTGTCGATTTTGCAGCGCTTTAAAATGGAAAGATGAGACCGCAGGCATGTGCTGTTCCAATGGCAAAGTGGCTCTTCCGTTACTTGGGGAACCAGAACCTTTGAAAACTCTCTTTTTATATGATGCTAATGAGTCACGGCGCTTTTTAAACATGATACGGAAATATAACTCGCCGACTATAACTAGCCGAAACACACAAGTTTTATGACGCTCTACAATACCCATTGATTTATTGCAAAGGACAAGAGGGTTATCATTTTCAAATTCCACTCATTAACCTGGTCACAAAGGAGCCTACTGCAAACAAAAAAGTATCATATATGGATTTTTATGCGATCATATGATGTGTATGGACAAGCAAAAAGCAGTGTTAAATAACATCAATGATGCACGTGTTAATATAGTCTCTGAGCTACCACAACTTTAAGGGTATTCCATAAAAGTTACTTTTTTGTTATACCTTATGTATGCGCAACATTTTGGTAGTCTTTTAAAATATTCCTTTTTTTACAGATCGTGGTGTGTGGTGTTGTGAGTATTCCAGATATGAAAAACGTGTGTGCGCGGCACTGCCTTTAGTTAAAATATTATTTACCTACAATATTAAAAGTATTTTATTAACCATTTTATTAATTAAATGTAACTTATTGTTTTAACGTCGGTTGTACTACCATGTTTTAAATATCAATTATATAGATTTAATAAATTGTTTATTTGTAAGGTAATATGATATGTGACATGTAAAAGTGCCTTTATAACATTAGGATAGATATAATCGCCTTTTTTGCAGAGTATAATAAAAATAATTAATGTAAGACTATTTATAATACCTATAAAATGACTAATATAATTTTTTACAGAGTTCTATGTTTTTGTTCTTAATGGAGATATTTATTTGTAAGGAAACCGTAAAAATTTATCTTTACCATAACCTACCTTGGTTCAGTTATTGAAATTTTTGTCAGTTAAAACTAAAATTTGTGTTACTATTTAACTATTGAAATTGTAGTTTCTATGTAATTATTCTTGTGTAACATTAAGCTACACTGCCGACAGTGTTACCTTACATCTTTAGTTATAATTCAAAATTGCGACCATTTTTAACATGTTTCCAGATCTGAGTTGTGTTTAGTTTGAAGTTTCTCTTATCAGGAATTTAGTTTAAAATTGATTGAAAAGGAGACGGTCCAAATTTGTATAACGCATAGGACTGGTTTTGTACAAGTATGGAAATAAATTAAAATAATGCATTATACAACTTTTGGTCATTTGAATCCACGAATATTTTTGCCTTTATTTCAGTGGTATTAATATTTTATTCTTACCAAAAATTGCAACACTAATGGCGAATTGATGTCGTTTTGACGTTAGCTGTCAACTGTCATGAAGTTATTGATGATTCAAAATGTGATTCTAAAGATGTACGATATCAATGAAATCAAAATCTCACGTAAATCATGAAGTCTATAAAACAAAAGCCGAGTCAAATAAGTAATAAATAAAAGTAAAACAAATTGCCAAAATAATCTAAAAGAACCACAATAAATGCATTCACGAGTTCACAACTGCACGAACAACAAACTCGGAATAAAAAAATATCACACTATTAACATTATTTCATGACTATAAGTGACTTTTCAGACATATGACATTAGATATATGACATAAGATATTTTATGACTTGAAGGGCGCCATTTTGTAAAATCATCAAAATTGGGATTGTATTTTTATTTTAAGCAACTCATTTAGTTTGATTTATTCGGATTTTATTTTTAATAAAATAAAATCCCTGAATTTTCCGCTTACGGTATAGTGTTACAAAGACTGGGCCTGAAATGGACCGTCTCCTTTGTACCAAACAGGCTAGAAAGTCTGTTAAAGTAGTTAAACTTTAATATTGCACTGTCATCTAGTTTCGACCTACATTTAAAGTTAAGTCTAGCTTATTCGGAAATTAGTTCAATGGGTTGTTAATTTGTTTATTATTGTGAAATGTTGTGAATAGCATAAGATATGATTGTTGAAAACACATTAATGTAAAGAATTAATTTAAAACATTTTTAACAAGAAGTGCCATGTAGTAAGTATTAATGGATTATAAGTAATTTTGAAGTAATTATGCCAGATATGAATGAACACAGATATATGAATTTAATAAGGCGAGTCATGTTTGCTGGTCATGTCATACCAAATTTGATTATCGTTGATGGTGAGATTCTTGAAGTTGTTCAAGAATATATCTACCTCGGCCAAATAGTGCAGTTAGATAGAAAAAGAGAAAGAGACGAGAAAGCTGGTAGCGGATTCAGTTGGGCTGGGCAACATTCTTCGAAGTTTCGTCAGGTCTTCTCGTCACCCATACCGCAAAGCTTGAAGACGAAAGTCTTCATTCAACGAGTGCTTCCTGCCTGTACTCATAAAGGGTGCTGAGACATGGAAACGATAAGACTACTCAAAGTCACCTAGCTGGCGATGGAGTGAAAAGTGCTATGCTCGGGAGTTTCTCCAGTGGATATGATTCGTAACGAAGAAATCCGTCGGAGAACCAAGGTCACCGGCTTAGCCTTCCGTTTTTGTAACCGAAGTTGCAATGAGCTGGTTACATGTTTCTAGAATTGATAACCGTTGATATAGGCGTACCGTAGAGAGGAGACTGCGTTGTTTTGTGGAGCGACGATCTGCGCAAGGCGGCTGGCAGCAACTGGATGCGTGAAGAACGATCAGGCTAAGTGGCGCGCCTGCAGAGAGGCCTGTGTCCAGCAGTGGACTGCCACAGGCTTATGATGATAA